ATAATTAAATATTATTTAATATTAATATAAAAATTATTAAATATTATTTTTGAGAGCATGATAAAATCCAGGCAGCATACGCTTGTGTTTACATTCGACATCCAAAGACACTGAGAGATTAGGTTAGGTTAGGTTAGGTTAGATCGAAAAATTTATCGTTTGACTGTTGGCAGCCCTACGAGATAGGCTGATCAGCACTGCGCGCTCATATACAAAATAAATTTGAAATCGCTTCTAGCCTAACCATCTTCACGCGATCGACTTTATTTGAATTGCACGGCATCGCATCGAATTATGATGGGCGCCGATTTGTCCGAACGTAATTCGGGACATCGCGATGCTGTATAAGCGTCGAATGAGCACGAATTGTCACGCAAATATGATAAATCAAATCTACTCACCGTTCACTGGCTGTTCCACAGGCCGCTCCATTCGCTTGCCTCGGGACGTCCCATTCCGATCTTGATGCACACAAATTCACACGAAATCATCAACGCGAACGCGCGACACTTTATTCGGCACTCCCGATACTCGCTCGCATCCGATAATCATCATCAAGGGCCCGAATAACGCGACGCAATTTCGCTCCATCTTCGCAATGACGCCATCACTGAATATCGTCAAAAATCGCTGTCGCGCGTTTCCATCGACACACTATAACAGTCGCGCGATCATCCTTGGACACTCTCGGCGCTCTTTCACTCGCGATATTCGTTTAAAAACGGTTAAAAGACGCGAAAAATGCGGACGTACGACGATCCGTGTAACTGCGTATGACTCCATATCACGTATGACGCGTATGACGTAGCTATGACGCGTATGACGTAGCAGTCACGCGCTAACATGGCGGCCGAACCACTGCGCATGGCCATTCCTGCGCGCAACGTTCGCACAACTTTGATTTCTGAATATTGTCTACGGCTTTAATTAATAGCACATAATAATAAATATATAAAGATGGAATCAATTAATCATATTGGTCATATATGTAGACTTGCCCGAAGAAAGAGAGAAAAAATTGAGATATTTTTAATTTTTTTTTTTTTAATAAAGGATGGAAATGTCTATTCATAGGCTTGTTCTTCTTGTTCTCTTTTGTGCAATTTCGATTCAATATATAACGTAGAAAATTCATAGTATATTATGCTAATGATTTGAATTACGAATGATTTGATTGTTTTATCGCGTTTTTCCAAAGTCAAATCTTATAATATTTAGTTTTACATTTTAAAAGACTAAAAGCAAACTAAATAAATAAATAAATAAATAAATGATGTTGAGAAAAAGAAAAAGAAGACTCATAAATAAATAAATATATAATATAAGTATATAATATAAATATATAATATAAATAATAGCGTGAAAAGAGAGACATACTAATATTTTTATATAATAATTTATATAATAATTTTTTATATAATAATTTTTATATAATAAATTATTATTAATTAAACTATTTATATTTTTATTTATATTATTTATATTATCAGAGGGACATATATGTTACCCTCTGAGAACATTCGTGGACATTTGTTTTGTAGTTTATGGCCGGTATTCATAGTCCGATCTTATATTTAAGATCGTCTTAAGTCTGCTTGGAGGTTGACTTAAGACCTCATTCAACCAATCAAATAGCTGCATAGCATTTCAAGCTCGAACTTAAGACGATCTCAAATATAAGATCGGACTATGAATACCGGCCTATGTCCTCGTTTTTAATGTCCATAGAGGAAGTATCGCTTCTAGGGATCATCTAAAAGCTGGCCATGACATCTCTCAGCCTTCTCTCTGCAGTTATCCGAAAGGTTCTCTCTGTATTTCGTAAGAGAGCGTTAGTGCATAACAAATTTTTAAACTATGTGAGTACTTGTAACCTATAATCCTCGAGGCTGGCTGTTTTTAACACTACCTCGCAATTTTACATATTTACATCAAAAGTAAAATTTAAAGAAATACTTTCTGTTCAAGAGACATTAAAAAGATAATTTTTTTTAAATTTTTACAGAAGTTGAAGTGCAGTTACAAGCGCATCTATTAAATTAAAATATATTCAAACTAAATAAACATTGATATTGGCAACGTTTCTGTTTATAAAGTTTGTAAAAAGAAACAGAACTTGCAACGTTTTGTTTTTCCAAAAATATTGTACATAACGTAATGTTGAAGCTACATTGTTGACTGTTATGGAAATGACATCAGTTTACAATATGATCTAGGGATGGTCATCAAATATTTTTCTATAGCTAAGCATTGTGCATGATCCTCAATTAATTCAGCAAAATATAGTGATGTAGTTGTGAAAGAAATTACATTCAAAATCTAAATAAAAATAAATTGGAAGATGGATGCTTTAAACATATTGATTATTGTGACTTTGATACATTGTTCATTATTCTTTTTTGATATATTTTTTAAGGTACATTACATAATTTTCATATAATGTTTCTACTTTAATTTTATGTTAAAAAATGTTAATATAAAAAATTCATTACAGTAGAATCATTTAATTTGATATATAATATAAGTGAGCATTTTTTATGTTGATAAATTATTATTTGTTACTAAGTTTTCTATTATAGGATTTTATACACATATTCTTGTTCTTTTAAGATAAATTTATTATAGATGTAAGTAAATGAGATTAATTCTTATCTTATTTTTCAGTCTTGTTCACATTTCCCATATCTCTATTTTTTGGAGAACACTGGCTTAGAAATTCAGATTTTGAGAGTGAAATGGTTCACAACTGCTTTTAATCGTAAAATTATAAAATGGGGAATGGATCGTTCCAGATTCTGGACTGCTTGGTTCAATGCTGGTGTTATTATAAGCATTATACTCTTACCAATAGCTACTATCATTATATTAAAGATGACATTTAATCTATGGCTGTCTGGATCTTCAAGTGATAGTAGTACAGGAGTTATATTGGAACCAATGGTATATTATAAAGAGAAATAAAAATATGTTTAAGAATAGGACATTTATCAATAATTTTCAACATACGTAGAAAAAATTTTATAATATTATCAAACTTAATTTTGCCAATAATTTTTTTTATTTTGTATGTAATATATTAAAATTTTCACATGATATATAATAATTTATTTGAGCCAAAATAACAGATCAGAAGTTTTTCACATTTTTAATATATTTTTTTTTTATATGCACATTTTCATAATTTTATAAATATTTTAGTTACCAGGTGTGGATGTTCCATTCAATGAAATGGGCTATTATACAATAACACTAGCAATATGTAGTATAGTTCACGAATTAGGACATGCCCTTGCTGCTGCGAGAGAAGATGTACAGCTGTTTGGTTTAGGAATGTTAATTGTTTTTACAATTCCTATAGCTTATGTACAGATAAACAATGAACAATTATTTTCATTGCCATTGAGGAATCAATTGCGCATTACATGTGCAGGAATTTGGCACAATATTATTCTTGCTACAGTAGCAGCAGCAATTCTTGTATTTTCTACATGGCTATGGGCACCACTTTATAGTCTTGGCACTGGGATTTATGTGAAAACTATTTTACCAGTAAGTAATGAATATTATATCATATAATTATGTATTTTGTCTAAATATCATTACTTGTATCTATTTTATTATTTTTGTAGAATTCACCAGTATTAGGACCAAGTGGTCTTTTGGAACGTGATATAATATATAAATTAAACAATTGTCCTATAAAGAATAGTGAAGATTGGTATGATTGTATATTACATGCAGTGCAACATTCAACTCCTGGCTATTGCGTTAAACAATCATTTATCCAAGTAATATATATATATGTATAGTAATATATACATATTAGAAGATTATTTATCATTAGAAGATTTTTTTTATCAATAATCATTCATCATTTAACATTCTTATGCTGTATATATTAATTTTTACAGATTATATCAATATTTCACGCAATTTTTGACTCTATGTTTAAAATCTGATAATACATTCTAGGATTATGACGAGTCAGTGCCAGCTAAGCAGAAAGCAAATGGAGCTGTGAATTGTTGCACAACTGACAGTGAAATGGGTGGTAGTTTGTGTTTTGAATATATTGAAGGGCCGCAAGCTGCTCCTCTTCATTTACCACCACATTCTTGTCTTCCAGTGAGGACAATGATTAATCAGTCACAAAATTTCTGTCAAGCTAGTCACGAATGTTTATCTCAAGATACTCATTGTATGAAACCTTCTTTAGATAATGTAACAAAGGTGAATAACAGAAAATGTATTAAATAGGACTCCAAAATTATCTTTAAAAAAATTTGTATAACTACTATTTAAATAATTTTTTTATGCTGCAGATTGTACAAATAAAGAGGAAAATCGGTAAAGATGTTCTATATTTTGGACATCCAGCAGATATCTATAGGACTGTTGATATATCAGATTGGATACCAAAGTATTCTTTTCTATATCCCAAATTGCCTGAATCAATGGCACTACTTTGTAAATACATCACAGTATTCTCAGCAGGGCTGGCAATTATTAATGTTGTACCTTGCTTCTTTCTGGATGGTCAATATATTATAAATATAGTTGTACTTTATTTATTGAATTCAATGCCACACAATAAAAATATCAGAGAAGCCACAATACTTACAATTACAAGCATAGGTACATTACTTCTTATAATAAACTTAATGTATTTGCTTATTAATAAATTACTATGAATAATCATACATTTTTACTTTTGTCATTTACATCTTTTGATATTGTTAGTAAATAATTCCTATCATATAATAATAATGCCCTTAAGTATTCACAAAAAAAGAAAAAGATTTATAAAATTTTTTAATATATCTTTTGATGCAGTTCAATATTTTAATTCAAACATTTAAAAAAATATTAAAGTCTAATATACTTTTAAATTAGAAAAATATGTAAGCAATAATATATTTTGAATGTTTTAATATAAAATTATAAATATATATTTTCTAAAATTATACTAATACATTTTAACTGACAATACTTATATTTATGGAGAAGTAGTGGGAAATATATATATATATATATATATATATATATATATTTATTGTATTTTGTTTATACTATGTGTTATTTATATACCCCATGAAAATCGTTATATTTTTTACAGTAAAAATTTTTGCAAAATGCTAAATTTGTTATCGCTTTGCAGCTCCATCTGTATCTAATGCTAAAAAAAAAAATTTGTATTGTGAATAGTAATGAAAATAATTGATCATAAATAAAATATTAAAAAACTGTACATAATTATATATAAATCTTGGATAGCTGATTTGAATCAGTTGAAACATTTATAGTTAATTTCAAAATATCTAATATATCATGAGCTATATTTAGTATTTATCTATTAGTTGTTCACTTATACTCACTTTTTCCATCGCAGGCAACAATTTTTACTTTATCTACTATTGCAACCTCTTGAACTTCACGAAATTCAACATCATTTAGCATAAAAGTCCATACATTATCACAAAATCTATAAGTATTTAATTTGCCAGCCTGTAATAAAGCAGTTTTAAACTCTAAATGTAATAAAGATTTTGCAAAGAGAAGATTACACAACTAAAGAAAATCACCTTAAATGTAAGTCTCGATTTAACTCTTGTTGCAAGGGCTTGATTAATAGCTTTATCAAATTGTAACAATACTTTTATCGCAAGTTGTGGTGTTATTTGTCCATACTGTAACATATATACACACATATATATTTTTTTATCAGTAAAATATAATAAAATATTATACAATTTATATAAAAATATTTTAAATTTTAATATTGCATTGCTAGTAAAGATATATTAAATCTATATTATTTTAGATAAAATTTTATTTTATGTCTCTTTTTTTCAATTTTATAGAAAACATTTTACAAGAGAAATAGTTTAATTTTTTTTATTTAATATGGTAATAAACTACAGCGTATCATAAATTTTTAATTAACCATATTATTTGCTATAAATTGATGAGTGTTATATACAATCTAAATGCCAGCTAACCTAACCTATCTCTATTATTGTACACTTACCTGTATGAGTTCGTCGAGACTTTCTTGAAGCGTATTTCCCAATGTAGTATTCCTATATAATTGGTAAGACATTTTTTCCTAAAATATTATATAATAATTCCAAACTACACAAAGTATGTCTACCATCAACAAATAATAGCAATGTTTTTTCGCATAACTAGATGTATATACTAGTGTACGTACGTCAATGGAGCCTGTGCTTGTGTGCGTACATACGTAACGTCATACGTCGCGACATGGAAGGTCGCGCATGCGCGACAGTGTAAGCGTAGCAGACGTCGCGTATCTGCGCGAGTCGAGTTTCGTTAAGTTAGTCACATGACCTCGTTCACGTGATCGCATGCATACGAAATGTTCCCGTCTGAAGTGAATTGTCTTTTCATCACGCAACGTTCGACAAAATGTTACCTGCACATCGTATAACAATTCGTCAAGGTAACACTCAATCTAATATAAGATATAAAGAGGTAATGTAGCATTTTTTGTATGCGCCATTCTTTGATTCTGATGCTATCTTTACAAATCCATCTGTTTTTATATGCGTAGCAAAAGTGTAATAACCAATCTCTCTTAATCTGATGTTATCGCATCATATTCGTATTTCAATCGAGAAAGATGATCTAATATATATTTCTAGGCCGATACTCATAGTTTGTTTTTATATTTAAGATTATCTTAAATAACGTCTAAAAAATTATACAATCATTTCATTGGCTGAATGGAATCTTAACGGAAGGAAATTTTAAAACGATCTAAGGCCATAAACCTTAAGATGATACAAAAACAGACCATAAATAATAAACGACTCTACTATATAAATCAGTAGGTGTGTTCAAATATTTAACAACAATCGAACGTGATTGGTTTCCCTTTGGCAAATCAGATTCTCCGTCTAATATTTGCGTTTATGACGACAGGGGGCGCGCAATCTATATATTTGTTGCTTTAGTGCAACTATGTAATTTGAGCTGTGCCTTAGTTTGAATATTTCGAATCGCTGTTGCGCCGTTTCGGTCTTTCGACAATCTCAGTAAATCACGCGAAATTTTTGATAGAATTTACATCGTAGTGAGTTATCGTAATCATAGCAAGGTCATAGATTCGTATACATATTTCTTACGAGTGTTATTGTCAAGTGAATGCCGCGTACGGGAAATCGCGAGTGTCTCTCGTAAAGTATCGGACGAGCGCCATCATATACATATGTGTGTATAATCGTTATCATATACATATATACGATGGCGTTTGCTGGTTACGACGATATTGGAATAATATCAAAATAACCGCTTGAATTATGCGAGGATTTCGATCAATTTCGTACACGCAGGATCACTGGATCCTGCATGTGCGAAATTGATCGAAATCCTCGCATAATTCAAGCGGTTATTTTCTCGTATAGTGGAAAGTGCAATTAATGCACAATGTCGTCGTATATACGAGGTACGTATATGCATGACGTCATTTCAGAATTGGATGCGTCCATTGCATTGGCATAATAATTCAATATTTTAACGATTATTATTAATTACAAGCGATTATTATTACATCGCCAGTAATAGTTTCGTGAAATGATGTAACTCGAGTGCTTAAATACTTAAGATTGCGGTTGGAATTTTGCCGCGTGACTTTGCACCATCGAAAAGTACGATCCTTATCACTCACTATTGCTCGTTCTCTTCCTTGCATTTTAAATTTGAAATAATTTTAGGTTAACGCATGGGAGAAAATTGAATCGGCGGGGGAAGGAACGAGAGAGAAAGAGAGAGGGGAGAGATGACTACACAACGGGGTAATTCGACTCGGTGAGTCTTGTTTACACTCTCTCAATGTTTACACTTCTGCTGTTCGTTCGACTGCTTTCGTGGCGCGCTGTTTTATTAAAAAAATCAAGGTCGCTCTAATTCACGCGTCTATAGAGAATGGATTAACAGGTAAAATTTATCAAAATTGTTTCGATATTTTTTTCTTATTGCGAAATTATTTTCGTATTGCGAAATTATTTTCCTCGCAATCGTTAGATCTGTTTCCAGTTAAAAAGTTAATTATTTAAAAATAATCTTCTACACGCATCAACATTTTTTAATACAATCATATACAGAAAATTTTTATTTTAATAACTTTATTTTAATCACTCTATGTAATTATTATCGATGTTATTAGTGTCAAAAGATATCACAAGGATTTTTTCATTCAAATATTTTTGTAATAGTTTTGATAATGATTTTTTTATGGATTAATTGGAATAGAAGATTTTACATAAATTGGTTTTATATTGCATTTGTTTTAATATTAATGAGAATTGATTTTGTATTAAAGAATATTGTGCGTAAAATATGCAATACGTTTTACAATAATAATGTCAAGAATTAATTATTAGTTATATAGTATTATTTATATATTTATATTTAATATTAATGAAGAAAAAATGCTATATTATGTAAATATACGAATATAATAACTGAATATAATAACTAAACATGTTAACTAAAAAATAAAAAGTTATATACAATAATATATATTTGTATATTTATAATTAATATTACAAAAGACAAAAAAAGTAAAACGAAGAGAGAAAATATAAATATAAATGAAATAAATTATTGTTTCCGGAATATATTACTTTTTAATAAAAAATAATTTTTGCATTAAAAAGTTTTTTAACTAACATTATTTTTTTGTTGATACTATATACATATAAATTAAAAATAAATATTGTTAGTATTTTAAAAAGATTCAAATATCCTAGGAATAATCATAATTTAATTATAATCTAATTATAATTTAAAAAATATATGATAATAAATTGTAAATATTATGATAATTTTATATTATAAATTATATAAATATATTTTTAATAATATTACGTTATATTAGTACAAAATTTCGTAATATTAAAAGAGCACATATTGCATTATAATATACAGTATTATAATATAATATAAAAATGAACTAAAAAAAAGTTTTAATACATTTTACACTATGATAATATATATGCACAACCGATATTATCGCAAAATAAAAGTAGAAGTTTTTCGTATAAAAAAAATTTAATTAAAATTAATTACGCAATATTTTTTAAATAATTTTTACACTGTAATTCTGCGCCGGTATTCTGAACCTGATAGGACATAAATGCGGAAAGTCTTTTAACTATCCGTTCGGTTTAGATGTTCGTAATTGCCGGCGGGAAGTTCGGTTTACATGCAAAACTTTTCTCGGCAAACCAAAGGATGCACACATAGCCTCTCGAGCCGGAAATGAATAACCGTCTTCTATGAACTTGGTGCACGAAAGTGTTTCTATCTTTCTGTGTACCAGGTGTTTCGCGAGATTTATTACTATTGATCATTATATTTAACTGATTTATAAATCAAAGTTTGCACGATTATTTCATATAAATTGGTAGTCATTTTTAATCGTCACGAAAAACAGTTTGGAATTTTTTTTTTAATTAAAAATATCGATAAAGGGAAATAGTCAAATAATTTTATTAATTACATAATAACTCTAAAAATGTGATAACTTAAAAAAAAAACGCGGTATCATATCGAAATCTAGCAAATAAAAAATAACTTTTATTTGATTAATAATAAATTAATAGCCAATAATTAAAGATTTTCGTTAAAACGAATTTGAAAAAGATTTTCTTTAAAAGAAATTTGTTTGAAATAAAGACGGAAGCGATGTAATATTAGAATTATCTAAAAATAGATATGGCTATATCCAAATAGAAGAAAGATAGTTTGAGCTTTTATAAAGGAAAAATTATAGATAGTTTCGTGAGTTCCTTTTCGGTTGCGAAAAAAAGTGAGATAAAGTTTGAAACGACATTGCGCGTGTAGAATCCATAGGTGCTGGCGTGTTATCGTAGAATGAGAATAAGAAGTTAAAGAAGGAGTAGGATAAAAGAGATTTTCGTAAGGAAAGGTAGCGGGAAAACGAGTATTGTTCGTTCTGGAAGATCCTGTTTGTAGAGGAGAAAATGCGAAAAGGGATGGCTTTTCGGCGGGGATGTGAGCGAAACAGTCGCATCGATCGGATTCTGTGCGTACAAGTGCAATGAAAAACATCTTTAAGAGTAGTATAGCGGGTTCTATGACGGGGGTGGATATGGACGTCGGCAAAAGACGGAGAAAGGAGCGCACGCGGGGTAGAAACTGTCCGCGCGACTATTTATGTAGCTCGCCTTTCAGAAACTTTGCAAGAACAATTTATTACGAATATAGGTGCCATTTGGAGAGTCAGAACTTTATTATGACATCGAGAACTTTATCTACGACCAAGGAGAACTAGTTTCCTTTATCGATGATAGCGGAACGTAGTAGTTAAATCGGATATAACCCGCAAATCGAAATGGAAACATTTTTCGTGAAATTTATAAAGAATGTGACAAACGCTTATGCTCGCATTGCTAGATTTTTATCAACGACATGTCCAATATAATATAAAAATATAAAGATAGAAAATTTATATGTAAAATCAGAGATTTGTTTTGAATCAATATTGTTATCGATTAAAAATCGGTTTTAAAAATTAATAATTTTATTAAACAATTGATTATAAAAAATCAATGAATATATTGGTCCTAAAAACAAGCTCTTGATTTTATGTACAAATTAACTCTGTATTTATGTTCTTATATTATATTGGATATATCGATTATGATAATACTTTTAATAAATTATTGATTATTAATATTGACGGATGAAAGATACATAATACTTTTTTAGAAATAATTGTAATATTCATTGTTTAATGTAAAAAATATCGCTGTATTAAAATTTTAATTAATTATTTATACGAAAATACTATTAAAGTAAATAGACTTTGAAAATCAAAATCATACAGAGAAATAAATTAATTATTTCATTAAAATTCTTGATTTTAATTAAAATTAAAAATAATTTTAATTTAAAAATATTATATAATGTCCATTTTTAAATTTTTGCTGGAATTTTAAAAAGAGACTTTCGAGAGACAGAGAGTTCTCTCTCTTCTTTCATTTCTTGTAAAATTAATTTTATATTAGTGAAATGTGTTGTCACATTTCACTAATATAAACCGGGGCAACAGGTCAATGCTTTTAGGAGTTAGATCAGATCTATCTAAATCTAATCTTAGTGAGAAAATTGATGATAGCATAACATGTATGTATACATATGTAGGATAGGTTGTTGAATAAACTTCCAACAGTAATCATTAAATAGATTACAATCCATTGCATACTAAATAAAAATCTTTTAGAGCATAATTTTGTATGCTACATTAATAAAAAATATTTATTAATTTTGCTATATAATATCTATCTTAAATTGAAAGTAATATTGAGAAAATTATTTTATTGATATAGTGAATCGGATAATCATTTCTATTCTCATATAATAACTCGAAAAGGAATCGTTATCGTTAGTGATTGTTTTCTGTCGCTCGAATTAGAAGTGCCAATGATAGCGGAAATGACAAAATCCACTTGTTACATTGCCGACTTTCTTGAAGCTGTGCCCATTTCTATGATATAACGATATCAGAAACAAAGGAATAGAAAGAAAGGAAGGACGGAAAAAGAAATTCGTATAAGAAGGAAAAGAAGATTTCCGAGTGATATAAAAATAAAAGATTGAGAAAGAGCAAGTGGATGAATAAAGATATATATATATATATATATATATATATATATATATATATATGTAAAGTGTGTACATGTTTAAACTGATCATATCACATAGCAAAATTGTGCTTTCTGACAAATTTTTATTGCAATTTTTTAGAATAAAAATTAAATTAACTTACCTTTTCGTTACACTTAAACTTTCAAATGTAGTAACTCACTTAATATGTTGTTAAATAATGATTTGAGAAGTGAGATTCTATTATATTAATTTTCTTAAAATAGTAAAAAAATGATTATTTGTGTTTTCTAAAATTTGTCTCTTTCTCACTATGCGAGAGAAATATATACATAACAATTAATTATTTTTGATTAATTATGTTTAATTATTATAATAATTCGAAAATTATCGTCTCGAAATTTTGAAATCAAATCTTTTCAAATAAAAATCCCACTACAAACGATTACGCGTTAGAATTAGAACACCCTGTAGGGAGAACAGCGGTTGCCAGGGCAATGAATCGCAGATTGACGCAGGCGTCGCGACGTCCGGCCGCGCGCTCATCCCCGTTTTCCATCCTTCTCTCCCCCGCGTTGAAGCGTGCCGCTGCTTAAAGCGCGCACCTCGCCCGGTCCACCCACCCCTTTCCTCTTTTCCATGACACAGACGGTTAAACTCGCGAAGTTTGCCGCATTATGATTTATACGGGAAAATTCCGTCGGAGGTGTTGGCTTTGTGGCCTAGAGTTTAAATATCTCTCTCGATTGATTTTAGAATCGCTATCCAATTATATCTCCTATTTAGATTTTATTATGGATGAATATGTATGCTTTGTGTCGCGATATTTTTTGCAATATTTCACCTCGCATAATCGTCAATATTTACTGAAGAATGCTCGAGATCAACGCAATTATTTTACAATGGTGTCGTATCTCATAGCAAGATTGTCGCGTCTGTTTTAATTGGTAATAATTATATTTTCTCTTTGAAATCGTTTCAACGTACACTTGATTTGCCAATTTTAAAATTGAAAGTCGTATTATTAGAGATCGATTGGCGAATCGGTTTTATATGTTGCATATGACTGCAGGCCATATACTTTAGAAACCTCGGCGCATAAAGCTCTTACGTAACTATTGCGATCAATATTAGTTCGAATTAATTTATTTGGCAAAAGTTTCTTTTTACTTAAA